TTCCAGCATTTGAAAACTCTTAAGGAGTAGAAGTTGTGCCTACAGTCCATTCTGCTATATTGTATCTCCAGTTTCTGGGTGTTACCTCTTAGGTTAGTGTTGGGACTAAGCTTAAGTAGGTGTTTAAGAGGATGTCCAGTAGTGTTAAAAATACTGTCAGCCATTAGAAGGTCACCTCTAAGACGCCTATACTCTAATGGGTAAATTGTAAGTGATTGAAGGCGCTCTTCATAGGGTTTAAACTTGAGTCTCCAAACTGATTTCGTGGCTCGCCGTTGGATGCGCTGCAGTGTCCTTATCCTTTTGGAGTGAGAAAGGAAATACTATGTTTCCGTACTCTAAATGGGGACGAATAAAACTGTTGAAGATTATGTGGAAAGTTATTCCATTAGACTGGCCAGAAATGCGCCTCAATGTTATCAGTGCAACGTTTGCTCGAAAGGCATTTCTGTCACAGTTAGCGTAAGACTTTAGGTCGTAGGACACCAGAACCCCTACATCTTTTTCGACTCGAGATACTACTAGAGAGGAGTTTCCCAAGTTGTAACTGTAGTCTGCGACGTGTCCCTGAATCATGTGCCACTGTCTCAACTGCCCGTATGGGTAAGGTACTTTTCGCGTACAGGATAACCCCGCCTCCTCTATGATTTAACCTATCTGCCCTACTGGATAAAAACATAGTCAACTGAATTTCATTATCTAGTAATTCTAACATTAACCAAGTTTCTGAGACAGGAATAACATTCGGTTATTCTTAATCCACCATTGACTTGAGCTCCACCATTTTATTTAGTGGGCTGCGCGCATCAAAAGACAGAAGCGAGCAAGTTCGAAGATATATTTTGTAGGTTATCAATATATTGAGAATCGACTGATCTAGACTGGCTAGCAATTGCTGGGGATGTCGAGCACGGAGCCTTCAGCTAGGTGTGTCCATTAAAACCAATCCCGTCAGATTCTAATGTCGATAACTTAAAAAGCTATTTATTTTGAGAATTTACTTACTGCTACAACATCAGCTGTCGTCTTGAAGGATCTACAGAAAGATATCCTTCTGTGCAAGGATGGTTATGCACAGTGATATTAGAGGTGACTTTTAGCTCACCATTTACCGCACAAACCCAAAATCCAGATTGACAATGCAATATTTCTACCTGAAGGATAAATTCATTCGGAATAAGACTTACATAGATGACTGACATCGTCTTCTTTGTCCAGGTTGTGGTGGTGAGTTGGAAATTGTATTCTCTTCGGCAGAATGATGATCACTATTATCATCTACATCCTGAAGACAAACATCGGATTCTGACGAACTGAGTTTACGTCCATATGTACAGCCATATCTGACGAAAAACACCTTGGAGTTGGGTCATCAATATTCTTTTTACATACCAAAATAACGTACTCAGTATGCATATACTGCATATAAGGCATATTACCTTATGTACCCAATCTCCCAAGGTTTAGGGGAAATTTGGGGGTTTTGGTGCCATATTCCCCGAAATTTTCTATAGCGGCTTCCATCAACTGGGTCAAATTTTCCCCAAATTTGTGAGATTAGATAGTTCTTTCAAACAGGTCGTCAAGATGACATAATATAATTGAAGATTCGTCCTATATCATGCATCATCACGATGACATCATCTTCGTTACTTGAAGGATGGACCTCACGAATTGCCGAGCCGACGCACCAATCATTTTACGACGGTTTGACCTTCAAGTGCTCAGTAACCTCCTTCAGTAAACGACACCGTTGAAGCGTTGCGGCACTGTATCCGAAAACACCTGAACGGAATCAAGTAATCAAAGCATAATAAAACAGTCAACTAAATAGCTTGTAAAAAATCACCTATGTATATATATATGCGAAACTCAGCAGCAGTGTATGCATAGGTTGATTTTTTTTATATCCACATATTTACCTTAAGTATCTAATTGATATGTTTGATTTTCTGCAGAAAATGTATTTTACCTTACGCAAGGTATCACAGCTAGTAAATTTACGAGCCGATCTTTAGATAGAAGTTTATCCGGATTCTCTGTGATCTGTTTCGCAGCTGGATTTAGTTTTTCAATCCCGATCTCTGAATTTTCAAATGGTTGTGGACGGAATAGAGGAGGTGTCGCTTAACAGGCTCCCGTGTCTAGTAGCAGGGGATCACCAATACTTCTAGGCAAGAACCTAGATATATTAACGATAAAAGAGAAAAAAAGAAATTGGTAAATCAGTAAGATACTATCCTTAGTCCTTAAGAATAGGTCAAGTCGCCTCTTAAAGGACTCCTGGGAAGTTGCTTGGACTAGCCCAGCCGGCAGCGAATTCCAGCATTTGAAAACTCTTAAGGAGTAGAAGTTGTGCCTACAGTCCGTTCTGCTATATTGTATCTCCAGTTTCTGGGTGTTACCTCTTAGGTTAGTGTTGTGACTAAGCTTAAGTAGGTGTTTAAGAGGATGTCCAGTAGTGTCAAAAATCCTGTCAGCCATTGGGAGTTCATTTCTAAGAACTTGCGGAATTTCAAATGAATTCTGGGGCTTGCCACTGGTTAATATCGGAGTTCTTAGTCTCTTTCGAAGTTTGGGGGAATTTCGACAAGAACCGAAACTCTTAAGTATTTCCCTTACATAGCTTAAAATTCCGTTGGAAAATCTCAGACCGGGGAAAGTCCTAGGGTTTTAGTTTCTTTTCCCTAAGTTTTCTAGTTCGGCTTCCCAAAAACCTGACGAATTTACCCTGAATTCGGGAGATTGGGAGTCTTTTTTTAAATAGAAAGCCCTCAACTGTTCAACATCTTGTCTTTAATACCTAAGTTCTTAATGTTAGCATTTTGTATCCAGTGTCCAAAATGTCATATACTTGACTAAATTTAGTCTGATTCTTAAGAATCAAATCATACCTTTCGTAATTATCGAAGTAGTAAATTTCCTTCTTTGCAGTGTTTCTTGATTTATAAACACTTCCTCATTTTAAAATGAACGTTTTGATATTTGATCTGCCAATCCTTCTGACCGTTTATTTTCTGCAGACCCAACGGCGTGATTCGTGTAATTTGGCGTTTTATCAGACCAGCATTTACGTGTCTATGAACCTATATTTCAAGTGTTTCACTTATTCCAAACTACTACTTCATTTTACAACGTGGTATCATTGCGATCACATTTTTGAACTTTATCTCATGGCCTTTGCCAGAGACCTAGCACAATCATACTCCTCAGTTGGACGTAAACAATAGTATTTAAAAACCGAAATCTTGGCTGCTCTAGGACCTCAATATTAGAAATTTTGATCCGTCTGTAATGTGTTAGTTAGTGGGAATAAACCAACCAAATCGTTTTACTTTACATTCGGTTCACCAAAAACGTATGCATTTTTATTATATCCACCGATTTCGGTTCCCGAAAAAATCAACTAAGTATTGTTTTATAACAAGTACGGTAGAACGGGATACTGCGAACTAAGTATGAATGTTGCTGTTGGAGATTATGGATTCTGAACGCTTATCCGAGTACTTTTTTAGAAAACTATAATTTCACTTTAGCAACCCCCTATATATTGACATGCATAAAAAGTTATTTTTCGAAGTGCTTAAAACCCTTCAGAAAAGTAATTCAGAATAAATACTTCATCCTTAACTTACGACTTCTGTTCACGACAGTGTGTCATACTTGTCTGTATCTTCGTACACCTGAACATGACGTGCTACTACCAGAAATTTATTTCACAAAATCAAGTCAAACAATGTTAATATTTAAGTTTACTTGTCAAATTTATAAGCCTTCGTACATTATAAAGAGTTGACTGTTGGATCTTTTAAATGAACTTTAGTTATTTGTTATGTTACTCTTTTGAACAAACGTATTTAGTATTGATCGTTTAGTAACCATTATTCTGTATACATCCAAGCGTTGCAGGATGTCTCTCTACTTCTGTAGTGTTTCCATTAGGAACCATGTCTTATTAACGTTGCTTATTTACTTGAAGAAACACGTGCGAATTTGCGGAAAATCTTAGTGCTAAAGTCTCTACACAGTAAAAGAAATTAGCCAGAGGATAAACAAAGGATTGAAAGTAAGAATTTTGTTGGTAATGAAAAACCTAATTTGTAACTCAGAGGAAGATAAGTAACTGACATATGCTCTCCATTGCGATCACGATGATCTTATGTACCACAATCGATAGTCTACATCTGTTGAAATAACTTGGTTTAATGTGATATCATCGAATGACACTATATTGGTCTATATCCACCCAGTGGATGAATGTCTAGAGTTTTGTCAGTCATTTCATCACCTTTAACTATCCTTCTGCACCTAGCCTCTGCATTACTCACCTGGTTCCACCATAAGCGACTACTGTCCTAACAGTTACTGTGGTCAGATGTTAAAACTCTATGCTCGTCAAAGTAAAATATATTGACCAAGTGGGCCAATGTACTCCTTTCTAATAACCGGATAACAACTTTAGACAAATGTCGCGAAATATCTGACCAAATTATCCATAACTCTTATGGGCAGGTATAACAACCAGTACTATTTGAAGATGTTATATATCGTACACTAGCATCAGCTGGAGGACCAGTGGATATTAAATAGCTCCGGATATGTTCCATCCTAAAGCGGAGCTTCTTAGCAATAATAGTATACGACCCTACATGGGATTAGTCTCTTCTGATTATAGGGGAAGTTTTGGATCAAAAGGGGATATAGTTATTAGTAAGCATGTACTTTTGACTTCTATCTTTTTCCATGTTACAGCTTATGAATTAACTGTCAAAAATATTTGTGAAGTGTGTCGACATACTTTTTCTAGTAGTTAAAATGACTGTTGTTAATCACTATGAATTTCCTAATAATAAACATTGTTAAAATTTGTTCCTGATTTGCCTGATATGATAATTTTCAATTCAGATTGTCGTCTATGATTATTGTATTAAAAACACGTTGTGTTTCAATATCAACTATAAACTAACTTTTCACTTCCAGCAATAATATATTGTACTCTGATGCTTGGTAAAATCGGTTATGATGCGTCCTGGCTATCTTCAATACCATGGAAGGCTATCTACTATGCTCTGTTATTTTTGATGATTGAACTAGTGACTTTTGCGTATGGAGTTATGGTGTTTATTCTCCTATACCAAACCTACATTCCAACCGTAAAATTGGAAAGAGAATTAGATTTAGTGTTTGAGTATGCTAACCATCCCCTTGTCCGTTTACTTCAATCTTAGTACTAAATGTAATATACGAACGGGGTATTCCAACGTTTGCAGTTTTCCTACAGCCAATTTCTCTGTTTCTGAAAGTGGAATATCTGTTAGTTCCTTGTTCTAAATTGTGAATGGTCTGTAGCTCTTAACACCCAAATATCCGTACATGCTCATGCTAAACCTATGGCTTCCAGATTCCATTCATAATAGAAATGCAGGTGAGTGGTTTCTATCCTCACATTCCCCTGTTTATGGTTTTGTGGTTTTAGTTTCCTGTCATTTAGTTGTGATCTCCAGGTGAATACAAAACAACTAGATGTGTATCTAAAAGTATTTGGTCGGAAAACCATAGTATTAATATTATTTTTGCTGATGTCCGGCGCTATAACCGGATCCCAAATCGATGGTGTACATGGGATCCAGTATCCTGAAGGAACAAATGGCGTATGAACCAATCGTTGGTCACCGGCTACTATGGGACTGCATCTCCTTACGATGCTCCACTGCCTTGTGGGTCAGACGTTTAGGTCGAAGGCTCGGGGTGTGGCCCCCTAAGAAAATCACCTGCTTCGGTCTGGGCATCCGGGCAGTATCGCAGCCCTCACACATTTCAAATGAGATGTGTGGCGCATATGTATTTGGTGCCTCCTTGTACCAATATCTATGTGTTAAAATAAAAATAAAATAATAAAAAATAATTTTTGCTGATAGTCACCTTCAAAATGTATTTCAAAACCAAGAAAAATCCTATTCCTTTTGGGACCCATAACCACTTTACAAAAACCAATCTCAGCTCATCCAGCACATTGTCAACGTATGAGTGTAATGTAGAATAAGGTTGGCTATAATCTCTGAGAAGCTTAAAATCTCTCCGAGACGCTAAATGTACTGAAAAACAACGACAAACTAAATTTACAACTAGGTCTTTGAGCCAATAATTGTCGAGCGTTATTATCTAATATGACACAAATTGTCATCTCATCAGGACTAGCAGTTACATCGTATAATTCAATGTTAATTTATTTTGTATCAAACAGTTATGAATTACTTATCTATTCCACGTTGTTACTGGCTGAATTATCAGCAAAGAGCTGTATTTTAAACACAACCAACGTTAGTAAATCAAGTGCGTTATCGGTGGTTGATTGAACATTGTTTTATATTTCTAGCTGATCAATAATCAGCCGACGTTAAATAAACTGTTCAATAAAATACAAATTTATAATGTTTAGTACTGATCAATCTCATGTTTTTCTCAACTTTGTACCCCAGTATATAATTTTATCTAAAAGATTTAAATCATTTGTACTTTTACTCTGTAAGACAAGTGCAAACCATGATCATTCGAGGGCATAAAAATTTGACAAACCTTAGATCTTAGTGAAACGTTCTTCGCTTTTTCTATTTAAGCAACTTTTCACGTCATCATATTTCTATTAAATGAACTGTACCGTAGAATGTATGTGCTTTTTTCCTTATTGTCGTTCGTTGTTACGTTGTGCTTCTACTAAGATGTTCATTATTATCTTAATACTGAATACTATTTTTCATCAGGTATGAGTATTATCACCCTAGAACTATATGGCCGTGAACATGTTCTTATACAGCGATTCAGAAAACCAGTAAGTTTGAAGTATTGCTGCGAAAATTCCAGTTCTACTTGTTAACGATTGTGTGTAACAATTTAAGTTAACAGCACTCCACATATTTTGTGCAAATAGTTAGAAATATTATATATTTATGCATAAGTCTTTAAGTAGATGCTTCGAAAATCAGCCACAGTGATAAACGTATCAGCCACCGTTAAGAAGTTGAAATTTGAAACTATAGGTCTTTCATTTCACTGGCAACAGTATGTTTCTGCCAAGATTATAGCCAAACGAGACTCCTCGAGAAATCAATACTATACTATTGGTCCTCTAAAGATTTGGTCTTCAACCATAATTTTGTAACAAAGCATAAAATATCAGGAGATCGCACTATTATCTTTCGACAAACTAAACAAATTAGCAGTTAAGTAAAAATTAATCTGTAGATTTTGTTACTGAATCCATAATCACAAAATGGGACAAAGTAACAAATATGGTGTAGATTTTGCTTTTATCTTAAACTATGTTTCACATACTCTCAATTTCCTAATTCCCTTATCCGATTTTCATCTAAAGGAAGTAGTGTTAATACCACTACTGTTATGATAATATTTGTAAATTTTTAACTGCATCAAATAACTATAAAGTGAAATGCATTTCCAGAAGATGAGTTAAAATTCACACGAACATTCTATTCTCTGAACTCTACCTGTTTTATGAGTACATGCTTACGAGATTGATGTGTAGGTCTGCTACTAAACATGAAGGTCCTAAGTTCAATCCCTAGAGGAGTTGTAAGTGCTCTCTCCTGATGGTATCAAACTAAGATATAACAGCGACCCAGAGATTCTTATTTCTTACTGGTTTACTAGCTGAAGGTGCTAACCCACACTAATCTCCACAACTATCTTTTTGTTCTTGGTAGACAGTTCACCACATTCCTTTTATTGTTTTACTGTTTTGTAGAAATGTTGCTTCTTTTTGTAGTTTTCAATGCCTTATCGATCTGGTGAAGTTCGAATGATAAGTAATATACTATTTGCCCCCCTGTATATAATCGGTAGGATGAAAGAAGAACTGCTGCTTTCAATTGAGATGTCATCTAGTTTCCAGTTTGATGCGGTCAGTCTGTTACTGTATACCTAATTCTTTTTTAAATTGATACTAACGGTTTAAAATTTTAAAGCCATAATTTGTTCTGTCAATGTAGTTTACCAAGAAGTTCCCGCTTCAAAATAAACCTGGAAAATGAGTGATGCACACTCAAATCATTCACCTTGCTTGCTACTATATAGGTCCCACTGTGTTACAAAAACTTGAAACTACTAGTGTTACAATAATTTCTTAGTCTTTTTGGAAAACTAGTTGCTTGCATACAATGGAATTTAAAAAGTAGCATATAGGAATCACTTCGACAAGCAATAATAGGTTTGCATTGAATAGAATCCGTTAGTATTGAGATCCAAGCATTAAGGAGATACTTGGCTCCAACTCCGAGAAAGATCACGTAAAATGTTTCACTACAATTTCATTACTGTTAGTAACAGAAGTTTTATTTTCTATTTTCGGCTAATCATTGGATATAAATATATCAAAGATCAGTTTTTCCATTATTACCTGTTTTTAAGGATAGGGCTGAAGATCAAAAGGCCGCATAGGATCTTCCACTTGTCTCTACAACAACAGAAAACTTCAGTTTTTCATGACTAAAAACATCAGATTGTGAATATATCACTGTAAATCCTGTTGAAAATAATTACGACTTGATAACAGATTATTAACAGACATTTAAACTGTCGGTTTGCAGCAGAACAACTTGATAGTCACTTTAATTACTGGGTGTCACTAGTTCTAACTTGTAAATTTAGACATTTCGCTTCAAAGCTACTAATATCGAGTTAAGTGGATCGCAAATGAACTCTAAACATGTTTAGATTTTTTGGATAGAACTAAAAAAACAATTGACGCAAAATAATAGAAGTTTACTTTTATTTGGTGGGTTATTATCAGTAGCTTACAACCTTATTCGTGTTGAAAGATAACAGTAAATACTAGTTAGAAAATTTAATTAACAGTGGATATCAGCATAAGTTCACGAATCGAGCTAGTGAAAGATAATTTTTAAGTAAATGAAAGAGCAATAAGCTAAGCAATGCTTGTATAACTGAAAACAGATGAACCTCACGTCATGTTTTCGCGATAAATATACATTTGTAGCTTCGCACTTGGAGCTAGTTGACTTCCGAGATCTAAAGAGTGGAATTCGAACTAGAACAGTTTCTGTAAGACAGGGATTATCCTAACCGCTCTTTAGCCTTACTAGCAGGCTTTCTTCTAAGGAAAAACTATAAGAAATCGTAATTGTTGAAAATATTTACGTATAAATGCACACGGAAACTCACTAATAAGCACTCTAGGATACAGTTGTAAATTAAATTTGCTGCCCCCACCTTGTCTTCAAAGAGGATGAGACTGTTGGACCAACTAATCTCAGAATAAATACCACATTTAAGACTGCCTATGCAACGGCTAAAGGACAAGTATTAAAAGGATAAAGAGAAGGGTGCATGATTACGTTTACAATCACCTAAACGACCCACATCCGTAAACAGTGCAATCAGCCAACATTTGATCGATGATGGGAATATTGACGACCCTCACCAGTCCTTCAGAATAATTTGCAGGGAAAAGAGAGCAACTGCTTAATGGATCGTTAGTAGTAGCTATTAGAAACTCATAAAATTTGTTTAAATTGCGGCAGTTGTCAACTTGCCACTGCCATGGCAAATTCATAATTTGTACCAGTTTGTTATGAAGCCTACGCTTAACTGATTGCTATTTCATCAAGTTAGAAATAATCTTTTCGTTACATTATTTTATGTTAACATGAGTACAAATATCTGTTTAGTTGTAACTGATCAACGTTTTAGACACAACCAGTTTTGGAAGGTCGTATCATTCTGGAGTCCAAACGCTACTTGTGGTCAGCTTTGGAGCTTAAAATACAAACGACGCTTAGCGGATTTCAAAATATTCTATACTACTATCCACAGGTTTCTTTCATAATTTGCATATCTGTCGTCTCATTCCTTATGAACATGATCTACATATCATCCATTCTTTTATACATTTTATGGCGATTTTTCAAGAAATCCAGAACTCCTGAACTTTCAAAGGTTAAAGATGAACCGAAACCTGAAAACTATCCACTATGCGGTGAGATTGACTCTGAAGATAATTCATTTTCAGATTAAATCTACGTAGAAATTTGTATCACCGTTGACTTGCAGTTTCATTACATGTTTACTGCTGTAACAACTCAAATGTTTCCCCTTAATTTTTTCTTCATAGCTTATTTTTTTATGAAACTAACTCATTCTAGTCTTTAAATTACACTCTTATTTACGACTAATGGGGACTTGTGAGTCAGTCAGTCACAACGTGGAACTTCGTACGTACGTACATCAGTTCGAGTTGCCATACCACATTAGCACAGAGATGCAATTGTCGATTCAAATCCCGTAGTGATAGAGGTAGTAAAGGTATAAGCAGTAATCGGAAGCATTAGGGTTTGAAGATGTTATTCAATGAGTATAATACAGTGAAATAAATTTGGAAAGAGAAAAAAGAAAAGGACATGAAGAATTCAGAAGATTAGAATTTTGGAGAACACAAAGATTGGATGCACCTACGCCATTGCAGACGATTTTGAGCCATGTCATTCAAGATCTCTAACCATCGGTTGCTATCATCTCGCGGATCACAAACAGGTAGTCCACACCTACCAACATGGCTCAGTCCACTTGTCAGTGACTTCATGGATTTGTGCCATGTTTTGATCTGGCCGCCCCTAACTTTCTTCCAACCTACTCTTACACCAGAAAACATCGCACGCCGGGGCCATCTCAACTGATGAAGTTCCACTACTTCGTCAATTGATTTGCTATCCTTACCTGGTACCCGTTTCCTAACAACTGCATTACTTACTCGGTGGTCCCAGGATATACAAGCAATGTTTCGAAGACACCTATGATCAAATACTAGTAACCCACGAATATCATCTACTCTTACTGGCCGTTTTCACTGCCATAAAGTAGGACGGAACAAACTGCTGCGCAGTAAACACGTCTTTTGGTTGATAGACGGATATCTCGCCTACGCCAGCATCGCTGCAGATGCTGGTTGTCCGAGGGAAACACCTTACTGTTGTTACACCTCTGTACAGTCAGCAGTAGGACATCGCCCTCAGACCTTGAGTTGCTGCTTTAAGTCTTACCGTTTTCCAATCGACCTGCCTGGCATGGTAGAACCTGCAGGGACATGTGTTCCAGCCAATATAGCTCGGTTGGGTTATCACGATAGGCAAGCCCGACCACCACGTCAAGGCAGCAGCTACGGTCGGGGACTTGTGAACGCTATTTGGACTCTTCAGGTGTTGACACGAGTGGAAATATAGGTTTATTTTGCACATAACTAAAATATTCATTTTGCTCCTTAAGAATGAGGTTTTATAAACATTTTAGAATCTACAAAATCAGTGAACTAACAAATGAAAATCCGGCAGCTAACGCACAATAACAGCTAGGAGTAACAGGTGTCTGTCAGACTTCACTTTAGCCGTGAGATTTCATGAATAATCCATTGATGTTACACTGCGATCTTTGAATTAATAAATAACCTAGGCCAGTCACTAACCATCAATATTGGAGAATATTTTCAAGCCACTGTGGTTAGAAACATTGGAAATCTAAAGCCACAAATATTTAAGAGTGATGAATGTTATGGTTTGCTTTCAATTACGATAAAATGAGACGACTTAGAGGTTTTCAGTGGTGTCGCTATAAGCAATGTTTTAGTTGGCATAATTTAGTGAGAAACGAGATGTATTGACAGGCTCCAGTCTTGTGGTTAATTGGTTAAAGGTGTAAATCCTAATAATAAAGATCCATTTCCAAAGTTTAGTCCTCTATTTATCGCAATACACTTGGTATTTATGACTGCTAAATTTGATCATCAATATTACAAATATGACTTTCAAGCGAGTGTGGTCAGCAGAAGTTTGTCAAACTATGACATTAATGGTGCAGTTCCATAGGGCTTAATAATAAATAGTTGTAGTGTTTGGTGAAATGCGTTGATTCATCTCGAGGTTTCGATTTGAAGTAGCGAGTGTGCAACAAATGTTGTTAATAATGACTACCTAGAGCTTATGTCTTCAATTGCTAAATAGGTTAATGTTTAAGCATTTATATGCTTGAGAATACATGCTAAGTAGTTTACACTAAGATCCAACAAACAGACGCTAACTTTTGTATAACTAGTCACGGATTACTGGGTTGTTTCACAAACTCAATGTGCAGTACCTAAAGTTGCCTCGATGTACAACAGTTATGAAAGCAACTGATGTGAAAATTAAGGACTGGGGTAAAGATCAAATGGATGAAGAGCAACAAATTATCCACAGGTAGAGTGGATTTATTCACACCATATTGACTAACGCGGAGGTATGTCCCCCTTCATTTTTAGTGCTCGGATACCCCAGTTCCTAGCAGTTGCAGTACGTTACACATAGTTTGTCACAATCACTCGATTTCTTACGAACTTTGTGAGTACTAATCAACCTACAGGGTTGGCATGTCGCCTTGATCATTCAGCACAGGTCTTTCTCAACCTCAAGTTACAAACCAATCTAAGCAAGCACTACATAACACTTCAGTAACGCAACCTTCATCACTTAAGCTCCTAAGTAAGCATATTCGACCGTCCGTTACTTTACAACGTACCACTAATCGCTTGACTAAATTGAACTTATCACGTTATGAATAGGTATCAAATGTATTTCAATATTAATGTACAAAACGGACAAGTAGTCCTACGATGCTTTGATGGTTATGAGGATGTTTGACATAATAGATATAACACAGTAACCTCCTGCAAATACAAGTCACTCGATAATCCCATCAAGAAACTCGTACTTTTGGGTGGATTGAACAGTACTCTGAACATGTTGCTTGGTGATAGTTTTCTTGCCTTCTTGTGCAGTTACTTCAATAACACTACGACAAAAATCTTTAACAAACTGCTCACATAGAAACCCAATTGAAGCCAGTGCTTCGGAAGTAACTAGAGAAACAGATGGCACCGTTTTTACAATTATTTTAACACGTGAGAGAGGAAGTTTACTTAACTTTTCTGTAGCAGGTATAGTCTGATTTATTTCCACGGTAGTACAAGCATCTAAGAAAAGTTTGCAAACGAGTTGATGTTACCTTCTCCAAGTGATGACTTGTCTACTTCGAAATTAGACATAATACTCAGTTATGATATTGAGTAGTCGTAATGTCCAGTAAGTTATATTGTTGCGACGAGCCAACTGTTACTTTAAAGTAATATTTGAGAGGCCAGCAGTGATTCAAATAAAGTTCACTTAAACAGTAAGGGAGTCTGAAAGGTATTATAACTCAATGACATGTAAGACTATCTTTGCGAACAGTACGCCATTGAATTACCGCTACATCTAACAATTTTAAAACAGTGATTTGATTTAAGTGTTTGTAATCAGTTAAATAAACACTTGCTAATCCCAATGTGACTAGCTACCTCGGAAATTAGATCCCGTTCTCTAGAAGTGTGGAAGCAAGTTCATTGTAGTTGTAGTAACAATTGCGACATTATTCGTCTCGGCATGATTTGGGTATTGATTGTTTTGTGTGGCCATATATAATTCTTCGCAAAAATATTATGGAGCGAACATAGCAATCTTCAGGCTCTAGAAACCTTATGTGACCATATGTGCATCAATGACCCGCCTAGACTGCAGCGACACGCAGTCCAGGTTTCAAATAAAACCTGTTATTGCAACAACCCATTATCTGTCATACATAGTAAAGTTAGCCGCTTTCTTAAATCAAAACAGCAGTACTTCTTGAATCTTTCGGAACTACCGTGTAAAGACTTGTTGTCCTAGTCGGTTCAGTGAATAACTTGATTTTTAACGTCTGTTACTACTCGTGGAAGAACATAGGCCGCCCACCAGCACTCCTCATCCAACCCCGTATTGGGCAAACCTTTCCAGTTCTTTCCAGTTGTTGTTCTTTTTTTGCACATCTGCTTCCAACTCCCGACTCAGTGTGTTCTTTGGCCGTCCTCTTTTCCGCTTCCCTTCAGGATTCCAAGTTTGTCCTCTCCCACAGAAGGCTGTTGTTGATGGTATCCGGCTAATAGATGTCGAGTATCTTGCGTAGACAACTATTCATAAAAACCTTTTGGTTTTTTGATGATGGTTGTGATAGTTCCCACGTTTCAGTTCCGTACAGTAGGACTGTCTTGACGTTCTTATTGGAGATTCGGACTTTGAAATTGGTTGACAGTTGTTTAGAGCTCTATGTGCTCTTTAATTGTTGGGATGCGGCCCTTGGTTTGTCGATGCTCGCCTTTACGTCTGTACGAATTAGTTGTCTTCATATGTATTTGTTCGTATGTATGAGATAAAAGAGATAGGTCGTCTGCTAAGTCCGAATGTTCTAATTAATCCCGAGCTGTCCATTGTATTCCATGTCTCAATCGTAAATAATTAAGCAAAATAAATATAATGACAAAAGTTTTTACAACTGGATATCGCCGAAACTCCCATTATTGTAATATGCGCTCTACGTTTTCATCTTTCTTAGGAAGATCTGCAACTTGTTCATGGTCCGTCAACCTTTCTTCAATGGATAAATGGACTAGTTGAGCATAAATGGAGTCGCGGGTTAAACTACCTGCCTCTAGTTTCCACTACAAGATTGGAACTTGTGCTGTTTATGCCTATCGGTTTTCTTGATAAATGTAAATGTACTGCGTGAGATTGCCTGGTCTTCGACTCACCTTTTCTTTATTTCTTCTCTTTCACAGATCTCTTCGCTCAAGCTCATCAAGATGTTCCCCTAGTAAACAAAACATCTTCCTCCTGAACGTGAATCGAAACAACAAACTTCACAAGATGTGGACAAAATGGGAATCAATCCTGACTAAGTTATATTTTAACAAACAACAGGCTCTGTATAGAAAATATCCGCATTTACACTCCAATATGTGGTGGATATCGCGCTGTATTTAAATTTGAGGTGGTTCATAGATAAATATTGACATAAAATGGAGGTACTGCATCCTGATGCGACAGGTGACAAACTTTCCGACTATGAGATAATGCCTTTAAGATGCTCCCTTGTTCCAAGAGTTAATAAGCCTGTCCATAAACCGACGTTACGTAACAGTTTGTGAGCTCTGTCACATGACACAACGTGGCATTAAGAAAGGTAGATGATACACAGCAAATACATTATCGTCTTAGGACAGCAGGACGGATCGTTGGGATCTGAAAGCTTGTGGTGGCATCGGGCCGTAAACACACGACCTCTGAAGCTGACCATATTATTACGGAAGAGAGTCATACTCAACAACTGACACGACGAGAATGTTAACAATGGTGAACGCGGGAACATTCAATTAATTAAATTCAATCAGGTGGCATGGCTCAGCCTTCACATTTGGTCATTCTGTATAGCTTGTCTCTGCTCACTTGAAACATATTCTTTTATTTTTAGCCTAACTTTGTCTTTTACAAACTCCAGACACGTTGTCGATTGTTATGATACGATGGGTCAGTGTAGGCAATGGTGTTACTTCCACGTAAGATCTTATAGATTAAAGTAGGCAGTCACATCATGACATATCTACAATTTTAGGATTAGGTCTATTATTATAATAATACTAATAATGAAATAGATGGTAATTATACAGGTTCGCCATTAGTTGGCTTGACCAAAGCGTTTGACAGTATCGCACTCTGTATTATAGGTCATTTTGGAGCAAATGAGGTTCATAATCCGGCTTCCTTTCTGATTAATGAGTTATGTGCAAGTCCATACATTGTGCACTATGATCATTAAATAGCGACAACAATGGGGAGAGTCCGTGTCCGGTGTTCAACAAGCTGCTATACAGAGTTCTCTATTGATCCTCATGTAAAAACCGACTATAGGAAGGTCTGCATTCGTCAGTTCTTTTTAGTGCTAACTACGACAGACTGTGAAGAACTGCTAGATGTGAAGTCAACTGACAAGAACTCTAAAGACAATATAACTGGAAGTGTTCCAAAAAAGAACAGTTTTACATTTAGTCTCCAGAAATGTTCAATGACACCGTTCTGAGCACGGCAAGCGTCAAGCCGAATGACTGTTTTGCTATCATTATCCCCTGGAACTTAGTCCGTTCACTAACAGAAGGCCAGAATACCGGTGTCAACCAATAGAGATATGCAATCACAAAATTCGCTCCTCTTCACTTCATCTAATAATGACTGGACATGATAACTTCTTAGCCATTTCTAACACTGTTTAAGACTTAAGCCCACCCCATCTCGAAGCCCACTTGAACGTTGCATTGTTTATCCATAAATGGAGTGCTCTGTAGACCAACGAAACTAGAGCTACTTCAGTGAATGGCTTTTAAATGACGCTTATCAACCACGTAGTCACTCATTGTTAAGCACCTTTCGTTTGCAGCAGATTTACCCAAAACATATCTCATTTTACCTATTATCACTTCCGTTTATTTTTTATCTTTACACTTTGATTGTTCACACTGTTTACATTATCAGTTTATTTACTTATTCTTATCAAATGAAACACCACATTGAATACATTATGGCGATGATGATAAATGAAACATGAACCCTTGTATAACTTCTATTTGTTTTGTCAACCGTCATCGTTAACAATAACGGGAAATGTGAAATCGAAAAAGAAATTATTATGGACACATTTTTTTTTCAAAAATGCATATGCGTTGTAGACAAACAAATTGATTATGGAAATCAAGAATACTAGAAATCAGTGAATGGAGATTTGGTCACCGCCAATTTACGGCAAAAAGCCTATAAATTACGGACAATCAGTTGGACGTAAACACATATAAACCCACATACATATAACTAACAAGGTCACAGATAACTGAGGAACATATACAGGCTAGGAAAAATGTTTGAGCAGGTTGAAGTAACTCATTTAATAGACAGAATTGTTAGGATGAAGGTACAATGCCAGCTGATTTGTTATATGCATGTTCTAGCAACAACACTGGACTATAGCAAAAGCATTCATTTTACGATGCCACAAATAAAGATTACTTAAAAGAACTGTCGTTCTAGACCTCTCCTAAAGCAATTGAACAATATGTCCAGAACCAATGGGTGTAAATATATATTTGCATAATAGTTGACGTTTCGAGCCCCTACAGACAGAGGTCTGTCCAATAAAATTGTTGATGTAAGTATCAATGTCGGAGACATGCGGGAAAATGTAATTTGAAGTTTATTTACCTCCATACATTTATAGTCAAGGAATGGCGACCTCCAATTAACTGTCGAATTTCTTAAAACTGGTAACGCCAGGTGGTTACATAACCCATGTTGACCGATCGTGGAGACTTCATACTGTACTGTAAAATCAAAAGGCGAGCGTACTGAAATCAATCCAATCACACCACATCGTCGAAAAGATACGAGACACTGCTCACAATTGCTTTCCATTTCATGCGTGATGATTGTTGTAGTGTAATAAAGTGTTGAAAGGATCTAACCTCACTAGCTGGTTTTTTAGCAACCCATATATAGATATTAAAGATAGTAAAGTAACTTCGGAGTCGGAAACTAAATACCTGATATAAGTTTTGGCTAAGTTTGTATTCTGTTTAAAGAGATCTTGATCTAGTAGCCGTCATCATTATAACGTTTTTCGTCAACCACTTTCTTCCTCACGTATTGATGTAGACTGTGAATCTATGAAACTGTAATAATATTATTCTATGAAAGCCTCGTGGCTATCCAATGAGGAAATAACAGTTGACATTCATTTAAAAGCATAGTCAAGAAGAAAAACAGTGAATTAACACAAAAAAACATATTACTAAATATCCAACATCCCTAAATATTTAAATCATATCCTATCTTACGTATATAATCAAAAGCTGATATAGGTGAGTTGTTAATTAGAAATAATTTTTTAATGATCAAATCTATTCCTATAAGCAACACTACCTGAATGAAAAACAAAACAGTTAAAAAACACAACTGTTCATTTTGTCAACATAAATAGAGAACACAATTGAAAGTTCCACATATTTTGTAAACTTCCAATTTGCTTACATGAGCTTCACTTAAATATTTTTTTATTGCAGTTATCTGCTGATTCACTGATATATTACATAAGTACCATGAAAATAATGGCAACACCAAATTCCATATATACTTTCTAACAGATTTGTTCTAA